TTGATGTGATAACCCTAACTCATATGCCTACTGAGCTTCAACATTTACAAGGGTTTCCCTTGCAATTAGCTGAAAGTGAAAGGAGTTCAAGTTTTATCATCTCCATTTTTCAGATGAGGAAACTGAGGTTCAGGGAGGTCCACAGTAACATGATTACTAGGTGTCAGGGCTGGGATTAAAGCTTAGGTCTCTTGACAACTGATCAGGATATTTTCAGCTGCTTTACAGCCTAACCACCATACTTGCCAGCCAGATGATCTAATTTTCCTTCAACTTTCTCCCCAGCAACTTCCTGGGTATGTATTTTTGTCCTTGAGCTCCCCTGACACACGTTTTATTAGTCTGACATTTTGTTCTGACCTCTGTTGATGGCTTCTGCCCTTTGAGGTGTGCCTTGTTTAGTCTTTCCCTTGATTTATGTCTTATACTCAACAGCTGCACTCAAACTAGCTCTGTGATTTGTGATCTGGCCACACTTGCGTTACCTTATCTACTGCAAAATCTTGGCTTATTCTTTGGAATCTCTCTTTTTTCTTCCATGCCTTTTGTTTGGTTTCCATTACAGTAATGTATTTCTCTTTCATTTTTAGTCTGATCAAAAAATTACAATAGTGACATAATTTAATATCAAATTATTCTAATGATGAAATGAGGGTCTGAGTTCAAACAGATTAAAAAGGTTCTCATTGAAGCTTCCTCCTAAAGCCAAAATAGAAGATTTAGGGGCTTTGCTGATGAAGGTATTGGGAAGGCAATAGTCTGACAATTATTGAGTGAGTCCAGCCAATGTGGCGTCTAGTCAGGATAATGTCAGACTCAGCCTATGTTTAAAAAAAAAAATCAAAGCATTCCTTATCTTCCTTCCATTTTCAGAGCTTAGGGCATCCTCTTTTGCACTTCCCTCATCCCTCAAAAACTACCCAAAGCTCAAGATACTGTGTAGACTTGCATCCACTCAAAACCATAGCTGATGAGCCCCTACCAATGTGTTCATTTTTATTAGTTGGACAAAAGATGCAATTAATTCAAAGTAAAGGTATTTAATGAAATAGCATGGTAATAAATGCCATAATAGAATACTCTGACCGTAAGTGCGGCACATGCTCTCCTAGAAATATGTACACCACTAGTGGGAAGAGTAGAAATGAATAGGGATTTAAGGTAGAGGAAACATATGGCCAGCATATACACATAGAGGGACAAAAGTGGGGATTGCCAATGCAAATGTGTGTGTATGCACACAAACGCACACACATACAAACACACACACACACACACACACAAGGGTATCTGTCACCTGTGACACTGCTGGGCCATCAATGTCTTCTGGTTTTCAACACATGACATCAGATGTTGTTATATCTTTATTATGATGTGGAATGACACCTCAATGCTCCTTGATGGGTGTGGTGTTGTGTTCCCAGATATTCCTCCCTTTTCCCTGGATTCTTTTTGATGCAGCTTGTAGTCTTCAGCTAAAGTCTTCCCATAAGAGAAGGAATTATCTCTGTGCCAAGCACAGAAGCTAAACATTAGCTCTTATAGTGAGAAGAAAGGCCCTCATGTACTATTCACTAGACTATAGAAAAGAGACTTTCTGTAAGAGAAAGGTTTGTCCATTCTCAGAGTCTTAGCACCAGCCCTAATCCCTCTCTGAACACAAACCAACTGGCCAACTTAGGTCCCTCAAACATTTTAGACATTCTCCCTTTCTAGCAAGATCAACATCCTTAAGTAAAGCCTCTGTTTGACTTAGAGTTAGAAAGTCCCCATTAACTCTAGTCCATTTTGGATTGTTAATCTGAATCCCTTCTCAATTAGGCATAGGAAGGTTTGCATTCTAGAAACTGAGAATTAGCATTGTGTGGTTCTGAAGCATCCCATCCTCTCTCAATACCCCACCCCTCCCCAAATTTTCTAAGTCCACTATACAGTGAACAGGCAGGATAAAGAAGGGACCAAATAACTAGGGAGTACCACAATAAAGTTATCTTTTTTTTTTCAAGTGGTTGCTTTTAACTTTAACTGTGTGTGATAACAAATCTCCAAGGCTTTTAGCAATTTTTTCAGTTCCTACTTCTTCCTTTCCCTTTCCCTTTCCCTTTCCTTCCCTTCCCTTTCCTTTCCTTTCCTTTCCTTTCCTTTCCTTTCCTTTCCTTCCTTTCCTTTCCTTTCCTTTCCTTTCCTTTCCTTTCCTTTCCTTTCCTTTCCTTTCCTTTCCTTTCCTTTCCTTTCCTTTCCTTTCCTTTCCTTTCCTTTCCTTTCCTTTCCTTTCCTTTCCTTTCTTTTCCTTCTCTTTCCTTCTTCCTTTCTTCCTTCCTTCCTTTCTCCTCTGTATTTCTTTGACTCTGACTCTCTGTCTCTCTATGACTCTCTCTCTCCCTCTCTTCCTTCTTCCCTCTTATTTTTCCTATATATGCAGCATCTCTAATTTGAATCTTACTTTCTCAACTAGCTCTGAACTTGGCAAAAGGAAACAACATAAGGGGAGTGCTCACCATGATTCTGGTCACTATGTGCTTTTGCTTGAAATATTTGGACAATCAAAAAACATGTTTTTGTTCTTTTTGAATGATCTGGTTAATTGTCTTAATACATTGCCTTTGCTAATGCAGAGCTTGCTCCCAGAACCAGTAATAGCAACGCTGAAGTAAACTCCAGCCAAGGTTGCCAGTTTCTTACCCAAGACTTTGCTATATTCCAAAAGGAGTCTGCAGTTGTTTCTGGTCATGTTACTCGTGCCCATCTGAATCATCAGACTTGCACTTGGTTGGGAGGGTCTATGCCATGTCATAGACACTTGGAGTGGAAAGACAGTGAGCCCCTCCCTCTGCTGCTGTTATCAAGCCAACCAAAAGGACCTCAATGCCTTTCTGCAGGGATTTATCCTCCTTGTCTCTAATATACACAACTCCTCTTGTCTCTTTGTTCTCAGAAGATTAATGGGTAATTATATAACAAAACTACCAAAAGTGGAAAGCATCTCTAATGAAGGAAATTTCAGGATCTCTTGTGGTATTCCTGCATACTTCAGAAAACAGATGCTAGAGCCTGCCTTTAAAATCATATATGGATGTGTTAATGTCCATTCAGCACTTTGAAATAGAACCCACAGCTTGGGGTCAAATATCCCTTTTCCTTCCAGGATAATAGTTCTCAAGCTCTTTCTTTTGGTACCATTAAAAAAAAAAGACTATTTAATTGAGATGATTTTGGAGTATGATACTATTTTAGTGACATGGGATTTTTATTGTTTTCAAAATGTGTTAATAGAACAATGGATATACCTTTTCATGTCAGGATAAGAGGATGACAGCGTGGGGAAATGGGAAGGGGGAGTTCCCAGGAGCATATGTAAAGCTGAATCAGAAGGCCAATAGTTAGAGCCAGGATGGCAGGCGCAAGAGAGAGGAGATATTGGGAATCAGGAATTAACAAGGCCAAGGCCAGACCTTGTAACAAGTAGGGGGTCAAGGGGGTGGAGAGTGAGAGGCAGAGGCAAGGCCCACTGAAGCATCACGTAAGGAGGATCTGAACTCTCTGGAAGCCATGAGTGCACAAACCAGAATGGGACCCTGGTCTGGCCCATTGATTGATGGGCTCAGCACAGGAGCAGGAAGAAGCATCTTGGACTAAGAACCACAGGTATCAGGCATGTCCCCGGATCTGAGAGGTGGCTGCTGACTGTCAGGGCCCAGTCTCCTGATGTTGAGAAAAAATATACTTTGCAGAATGTGTTGTGTATCCTTCAGACTCCAAAGCAAAATAGAAAAGTTCATTCCATGGCACCAGATGTGGCCAACACAACCCCCTCCTCTCCAGTGGACACCATTTTGGGCATCCAGCAAGCCTGATGGGTAGGTGTGAGCAGAAGGGAGGAGTGGGGGCTGGAATTCTGCCCTTGGGTTGGTTCAATACCAAGTTGTCTAGCTGGGCCTCCCTCTCCTTAGATGGAAAGGAAGTAGTTTGAGCTAAATTCTCCTTCCTGAGGTGGAGGTGGGGGCCCCTTCCATTTCTAAAGGATGACCCTAGGGACACCATTTTCCCATTCCACAGGGAGCTAGGGTACACAGTGCAGAGAGCACTGGGCCTGGAGTCAGGAAGACCTGAGTTCAAATGTGGTCTCAGACACTTACTAGCTCTGGGACCCTGGGCAAGTCATTTAACCTCTGTCTGCCTCAGTTTCCTCTTTTGTAAAATGGGGATAATAGTAGGCCCTACCTTTGAGGGTTGTTGTGAGGATCAAATGAGATACTATTTGTAGAGCACTTAGCACATAATAGGCACTCTATAAATGTTAGCTTTATTATTGTTATTATTATTATTATTGCTGGAGGTCAGGCATTGCTTCCTTTTTTTCTCCAGCCTCTCCTCACAACCACAGGAAATCCTAGGGCAAAAGTCCTGGTCAGTCAGTCAGTCAACAAGCCTTTAATGAGCACCTATTGTGTGTGCGGCTCTAAGCACAATCCACCAGGAGAAATTCCAAAGGCCACACCTGCAGAATGTCTCCTGGGCCTGATTGAAATCCTGCTCCTGTGGACCAGGACTCCTAACCTGGGGGAGGGGGGCAAAGTTTTCTCTTTCCTGTTTGGTATGGGAAAGTCCTACTTTCTGGTCAGTATTCACCTGGAAGCTTGGAGGGCTGAGGCTGCAGAGGCCACTGGGGAGCTCATACTCCTGTCACTGCCCAAGAAAGAAGGATCGTGTTTCCCCATCCTTCTATAAGGAGCTTGGAGGGAACATTTCTAGGAATCGGATTTTCAAATAAAATGCAAATGGACAATTTCCATTCAAGCTGGGTCAAGCTGCCTCACGCCTTGGATTTCTTCAGTCACCTCATTATCATTTAGAGAACTCTGGCTGGTGTGGTAGACTTGGGTGGAGCCGGAATGAGCTCCGAAAGACTCTGCCTAAAATCCCTACCACAGCTCAGCCAATGCCCGAGGTGACTGCAGTGAAGAAACCCAAGCCAGAGACGGACCCTGACAGATACTTACAGTAGTGTCTCCAATTCCCCTTTTCGCCTTTTTGCCCTTTCGGGCCAGGAAAACCTTTAAAAGAAATCCATATTTGCTTTAGAGGAATGGGGGTGGTGAGGTGTGGGTGGGGTGGGGATTACAAGTGGGAAGGTGCTTACAGCACCACCAGAAGGACCCTAATCAAGGGCAGACCTTCAGAGCCTCCCAGAGGGTGGGGAATAACTGAAGAGGCAGACAAAGTTGGCTTCTCCTCTGCCCCACAGGGCCATCCTTCCCTCCTCCTGACAGCAGATGGGACCCAAAGCCTGAGCCTGTCCCCTTCCTTCTGTTACTCAAAACACTCTAGCCCTAGACATGGTTAATATTAGGGAGATAGAATGGCATTTAGGTCAAGGTCTGGACTGCAAGGCGGCTGTGTGACCCCAGGCAAGTTACGTAACCCTCTGGGCCTCAGGTTCTGTATCTATAAAATGGGGCTAATAGCTGTGATATTGATCTCACAGGGTTGTCTCGATCATACTTTTAAAAGGTATCACAAACTTTAAAGGTTCTGCATGAATGTCTGCTATCATTTTATGAAGCAGTGAGTACAGCACTGGGCCTGGAGTCAAGAAGACCTGGGTTCAAATCCAACCTCAGACACTTACTAGCTGTGGGACCCTGGGCAAGTCACTTCTCCTGTCTGCCTCAGTTTCCTCATCAGTAAAATGTGGATAATAATAATAAGAGCACTGACCTCCATGGGTTCTTGTAAGGATCAGAGGAGATAAGAAATATAAAGAGGTTTGCAAATTGGAAAGCATAGTATAAATGCTATTATTATTATTATTACCATCATTGAAAGCAACCCGTGCCTCCAGATCCCTCTCCTCCTGGGTCTGGAAGTCATCGGAAGGTGACTTCAGTCTCAACAGGGCCTCTGGCCCTTTGACTAGGCTGTTTTCTCCAGGAGACTTTCTGCACATGGCAGAGCAAGGGAATAATTGGGGAAGGACACACGAGGTTGAAGTTGCCTTTAAGCTTTCTTCAGTTAGCCATGGCTCAGAGGGTCTAGACAGAGTGCTGGGAAGAGCACATGTTTTTGAACCAGAGGACCTGGGTTCAAATTATGGGATCATAGATTTAGAGCTGAAAGTGACCTTAGAGGCCATTAGCTCCAACCTCCTCATTTTACAGATAAGGAAACCGAGGCTAAGAAAGGCTCAGTGAATAATTGCCCTGGCTCACATAGCTGTCAAACTCAGGTCTTCCTGATTCTCATGGGCTCCAGCATTCTACCCACACAGATAGTAAGTGTCTGAGGTTGGATTTGAACTCAGATCTGACTCCAAGCCCAGCACTCCATTCACTGAGCCACCTCATTGACTTCAAAGGTGATGCCATTTGCATCCTCAGTATACTCATCTAGAAAATGGGGATAATAATCCTCACCACCTCCACCCCCCAAACCCCTCAAAGGGATATGGTAAGGAAATCCTTAGAAACTTGCAAGTGCTCTAGGACACAACTATCACCAGGATCACTGACCACTACCCTCATTTGTGCCCAAACCGACACTCCAGTTGTTTTTTTCTCTCCTTCCTTCTCCTCCCCTCTTTCTTCCCCCCAACTCCCATATTATGTTCCATGTGTTTCGATGTGGTGGCTGCACGATCACAGTACCTTGTCTTCCCACAATCCCTGGATGTCCAGGATTGCCTTGGTTCCCTTGAGGGCCTGTCAATCCCCTGTCACCTTTTAGACCTGGAAGACCTGAGGAACCCAAGGAAGAAAAAGAAAGTGACCCAATGTCAGTAATTTGTCCTGAAGAGGTCAAAGCATGCCATGACAACTCACCAACCTGGGAGTCTGAGCTGGGAAGGGTGTACATTTCTAAAGGCTAACATGTCATGCACATATAAGTTACAACTGGCATATGATAAGTAGGAGTACAAGTGGAAAGAAATCAAGTGCAGAACCCCCAGCTCCCATTGTCTTTCCAAACTCCTCGGACAGTTTCACTGAGTAAAGTGAGCCTCATTCTTCTTGTACTCAGATGTTTAAGAAAGAGAGAATTCAGCTTCCTAGCCATTAAGAGTCATCTAGAAATGGAAGGGGCTGCCTTGGGGGATCTGTGGAATGCAGAGTTAATAGCAAGACTTTTCTGGATGACATTTTTCAGTTGGCAATATAGCTATGACCTCCCACCCCCAGATCCCTGAGAAGATTTCTAGACATTATAACCCCATTTATTGGCTTTTTAAGCTGAATGCTAGGAAGGTCAGGCAGGTGCCAAACTCATGCTTTTCATTTGAAAAAAGTTTTTTTCTGATGAAACCTGGACTGGTCAATACATTGATTACAGGAGAGCCTAAAAAAAGGCAAATAAAGCATAGAGAGAATCCCAGAAGATTAAACACACAATTTTGGTTACATAAAGTTAAAAAGTTTTGCAGAAACAAAATCGATGCACTTAAAATTAGAAGGAAAAGTTAACTGGGAAAATTCTTTCAGCATTTTTTTAAAGGCCTAGTACATATAAGGAATTAGTACAAATATATAGGAAGAGCCATCCTCAATGGAAAAAATGTCGAAGGATATGAACAGAGAGTTCTCAAAATAAAAAAAGGCAAGCTCTCCACAATATGAAACAATTTTCAAAATCACTAATTATTAGAGAAATGCTTAAAACAATTCTGTAGTTACAACTCTTAGCCTTTCCCACCCAGGTGTGTCTTCTAGACTTGGTCTTGCCCCTGCACCACACACTCCACCCCACCTCTACACACTCCTCCTTTGTAGCTTCCTTTTAGGTGCTGGTTTTTCCCATTAGTTTCTCAGTTCCTCTAGGGCAAGAATTATTTTGTTGCCCTTCTTTGTATTCCCAGTGCCTGACAGAGTAGGTGATTAGTAAATGTTAGCTATTAATAATAATAATACATATTTATTAATTAATAGATTGATAAAGATGACAAAAAATTTTTTGAGTGGATGTGGGAAAACAGGTGCACTAATGCAATACATTGTTGGCGAGGCTAAGAAGTGATCCAATCATTCTTGGAAAGCTGTTCAGAACTATATCCAAGAGTTTGCTGTGTATTCCCTTTGACTCATCATTCCCACTATTAGTGTGATACTCCAAAGAAATCAAGGATAAAAGGAAATGACCTATATATCAAAAATACACATAGCCATTTTGTTATAGAAAAGAACTAGAAACTAAAGGGGATGCCCCAGAATTGAGGAAGAGCTGAACAAATAATGGCAAATGAATATAATGGGATTTTCTTGCACCATAAGAAATGACAAAAGTGATGGATTCAGAAGGACCTTGGAGGAGTCATATGAACATAGTGAAATGAGCAGGAATAGGAGAACAATTTGTGCAACATATATAAATCTGACCTTAAGCTCTTTGGGGAAGGAAGAAGAATGTCTGAGGGTCAGTGGATAATAGCCACCATGACGTAGACTGGGTGAGAGTATGAGTTTTAGTGCAAATGGGAGAGGGAGAATTTGGAAGTAGCATAGGGGGCAAGGTGGTATTCTGATTATCCACAGTGACTGTGGGTCAGGGATTACGAGAGAAGGCACAGCCAGTAATGGAAAGGGTGACAAGAGATACCATAGCATCAGGAGGGAACTATGTCTCAGTGAGGGCTAGAAGATGAAAGAAGTCTGAAAGAAAGAATTTTAAGATAAAAGGAAATTTATTCATTATGTTGCAGGCATTCCAAAGGGCACAATGCAAAGGAAGACCTGCAGTGGGATATTGTCAGGGTCTGGGGGTAGGTGTAAGGTTGAGATCAGTAGAGGTAAGTGAGTGGGCAGCTGGGGATGGGAAATGGAGTTTGTACATTCATAACTGAACCTTCAGAATCACTGGGATGAGGTGAATATAAGGGGATGGGAGCATGCTAACCACTGAGGAATGAGTCCAGGCAGAATATGAGTGGATGGAGAGGCCCAGTGAGGGAGGGAGGTGTCACACTTCCCTCCCTTGATGAGGAGGTGAGATTTTGTGGCCTGGGAGACCCATGGAACAGGAGTCAGGAACAGGCACAGCTCTGCACAGGAGCCTGGCTAGGAGGTGAGTGTACTTTGTCCGTCCTAAAGAAGGCTCCAGAAATGAGGATCTTGCCTCCCTTCCATGCAGCCTGGTGCCAAAGATGTCCCTGGAGCAGGGCTTGATGGAAAACAGTGTATCTAAAGAAGCCAGTTTGGCTGGGATATACCATAAAGGAGAATAATTTGTAATCAGCCTGGGAAGACATATTGAAGCCAGATGTTGATGGAATTTAAATGCCAGACACAGGCACATTTGCTCATGTGGCCACACCTCTGCTTTAGGAATTTTAATTTGCCAGGGATCTGGAAGATGCAATGGAGGAGGGATATATTAGAAGCAGGGAGAACAGTTAAGAGACTATTGCCACTGTGAATGGAGCCTCTGTGAATGGAGAAAAGGAGAGGGTTGCAAGAGGTGTGGAGGAGGAAGAATTGATAACACTTGACACCTAACTGGATGTGGAAGGTGAAAGAGTGAAGAATTGAGGATGGCTCCAAAGGCATGAACTCAGAAAACGAGGAGAATGGTGGTTCCCTTAACAGAAACAAGAAAGAGAGGAGCAAGGGTGGTTTTAGGGAGAAAGACAGGAAGTTGTGGGTGAGTGACTAATTTGAGATACCTAAGGAATATCCAGAGGGAGCTGTCCAGTAGTCTGTCAGCAATGTGAGACTGGAACTATGTAAGTCAGGGAGGCTTCAAGCAATCTTTCACACTCTCCTCATACCAGCTGGGATCAATGATGGAGCAGACTTGGGGCAGCTGGAATTACCTTTTGCCCCAGAGATACTGATCTGAGACCCAGCACTGGACTCTTTGAGAAAAGAGCATGTGGAGACAGCTCTTAAGCTCTGGCGGGAAGCTTTGGAGACCCCAAAGCTTCCATCTGAGCTCATTGTTTCCATGATCCCATTTGAGGGTGGGATCTGTGTTACTGTTATCTTTTTATCTCACAGTAGTATCTCCAAACCTAAACGCCTTCCTTGCATTCAGCAGGCACTGGAAAAATGTCTGTCAAATTGAATCCTGAGTCACTCTAATGTGTGTTAATATGAGCTCCTTGATACTCATTCAGAATGGTTTGGATTCTCCCAAAGCATATCTCTCCCATATATAAACATATATACATATAAAATATTGTAAACATATGTACATGTATGCACATGTATGCGTATGCTCATAAGCTTTGCCAACTCTCCTCCAAACCCACACCACCTTAAAGCCATTGAAATAACAATAAATCTGGAGTTAAAAGACTTGCATTTGAATACCAGTTCTGCTCTGTGTGACCTTAGAAAATCATTCCAGCTCTCTGTGACTCAGTTTCCTCATTTGCAAAATTCAAGGGCTTGATTTGATAATACCTAAAGCTCCTTTCACCTCAAGACTCTATTACCCCAAGACCTTAGTTTGATTCTGGGGGTACCCATAAGCTACCCCTTCCAGGGTCCAGTCTGCCAATAGTTACCAACCAGTGGAACCAAAACTAAACTGAATGCCAAGGTGAAGGGTGTTGCGAAGAAGCATGGAGCCATTGCCCAATGTTCCTCCCAAGTATTAGATGCCTACTGTCAGTATGAAGCAGACCCATATGTTCCCACTGTTTTCCAGGGTCCTAAAGATCTTACCATCAATGATAATACTTGTAAAGCACTTAGCACAGTGCCTGGCACACAGCAAGAGCTTAATAAATGCTTATTTCTTTCCTTCCCCTGCTACTTTACCTGCCATAACCCAGTTATTGCTGGGCCTCTCCAAACAACCCTTCTTAATGTGCTGTCTCCCTCAAATTAGAGGGTGAGCCCCCCAAAGGCAGAAGCTGTCTCCTTTTCCTATTTAAGTCTCCAGGGCAAAAATCCCTTAACCCAGCTTAGCCTCAGACATCTTCATCCTTCTTGAAGGATGCAGGTGTAACTGTGGTCACTGGCTGCTCTTCTCAACCAGGTCCCCTGTTCTCTGTTTCACTGTGTGGAATATCCAGGTAGTATCTCAGTTTCCATTCACATACCTCTTGGGCCAGTGATGCCAGGAGCCCCCACTTCTCCTTGGGGGCCTCTGTCCCCTCGTTCACCTTTTGGTCCAGGAGGGCCTTGAAAGGAAGGGATGATAATTCCTGGTCATGACTGGTGATCAGACACACACACACACACACACACACACACACACACACACACACACACACACAGCCCTAGTACTGAGGGGAAAGGGCAGACCTTCCCCCAATGGAGAGTAATCTCCCTATCTTGAAATGTGTAAGAACCTTTCCAAGTCCCACTTTTGCTTATATTCCATTCACTGAATGGAAGATTGAGGCAGCTAGGTGGCATCATGGCTAGAATGTTGGTTAGGGTCAGGAAGATCCAAGTTCAAATTCTGCTTCTGCCATTTACCAGGCCACTTCACTGTTTCCTACCTCAGTTTCCTCTTGTAAAATGGAGATAATAATAGCTCCTATCTGCCATGTTGTTCAGAGGATCAGAAGAGAAAACATATATTTTGTAGTCTTAAAGCTCTTTGTAATGTTTGCTTTTATTATTACTATTATTGCTGTTGTAATTAACTCATCCAAGCATTTGAGGCCTTCCACTAACAGCTTCTAACTTTCTAATCCACTTTTATTTCCTACCACTACAAACCCCACCATTCCTATTTGTGGAGTCTATCTTCCAGACAACATAAACTGCTCCTCCTGTCAGCAAGACCTGAGTTCAAATCCAGCTTTAGACATTTCCAAACTGTGGGACCCTGACCAAGTCACTTTAGCCCTACTTGCCTAGTTTCCTTGATTGTAAAGTGGGTGTAATAATAGCACCTGCCTTGCAGGGTCATCATGAATATCAAAAAAGATAATATTTGTAAAGCACTTAGCATGGCACCTGGCACACAGTAGGTGGTAAATGTTTGTTCCCTCCCCTGCTGTTGTGATTAGCCCACCTACTCAGCAACCCTGGTCAATGCCATACTAACAATTGACTCTGGGTGACACCAAGCTGTTTGGAATAAGGGGAAAAGAGAGGATACAAGAACTCTCCTTTCCCTACCCAGCTGCAGTCAGTACAACAGTTCTCATGAATGAATGATTCCCCCAAAACCAATGTATTAAAAAAGCAACTTTCTGTCCTGAATGCAGAAGGACCTGTTTCCCTATTGGCACCTTTCTTGGAAAAGAGGGAAGATACTCCATCCTGTGACCCATATCAGGCAGAGATTGGAATGGTGGAACAAAGATGCTGCTTGAGAGCCAGCCTGGATCCAGCTGTGACCTGTCCTGACTATTGGTAGTCAGTGGGACTCCCTGACACAGTCTTCTGGGGTCCCTCTCTTGGCCTTGCTCTCTTTCTCCCATGTGATCACGAGAGCCTCAGCACATTCCTACCCTCTCCTCTGCCTGGTGGGCAATGGAGCAAAAGTTCTTTGGATCTGTCTTCTGGGTCCTGCTGCCAAGGAGTCCCACCCTCTCTCTGTGCTGCTCCTATTCTTTGGCTGGGGTGAGGGAGGGGCTCATGGAGCTCTCCTAAGACCTTCTGTGCTTCTTGCATGGCAGGCCACACCAGACCCATGACATATACTGATGGGCATCCTCTTGTCCAGAGAAATATCAGGACTCATTAAGATTTCAATATTCCTCATATGGGACTTAGTTTTTAGAACTTTGTAAATTTGTGCTGAGCTAGAAATGTCCCTCAATGAACCATGTCCCTGATGGGTTCCAAATTATCCTAAGCCTGTATGTTTGTTTTTGAGCTAAGCACTGCCCTGAGAGTTCATGGACCTGAAAATCCTCGTTAAATAGCTCTGTGTGTGTGTCCCTGTTTCTGTCAGTCTGTCCATCCATCTCTCCATGTCCCCCTGTCACTCTTTGTCTCTGCTCTGTGCTTCAGTTTCCTCATCTGTAAAAGAAAGATCCCTCTCGGCTCTAGACCTACGATCCAGGAACCATTGTAGACTTGAGTAAAAGGGCAATAAAAGGAAGATGGAAACATTCTGGACCATTAAATAGCACATAATGATCTAGAACTCCCCACCCCTACCACACCCCAACAGCTCCTATTACTGTTTAAGTTTTAAAATGCCAGGAAGTATAGTGACATTTCCTGATAGAAGAGTCCAGAGGGCAAAGAAGTAGAAATCAGGAGATTTCAGTCTGAATTCAGTCTTTTTGCCAGCCCTTCATTACTGGGTGACCTCAGATAAATCACTACCAAACTGGGAGAATAAGTCATATGTCTAAGGACCTTGGGACATCCAGGCCATGCCAAGCCTTGCTAACTCCCATCCTGGGAGTTATCACTAAATTCCTGAGGATAGGAGAGTGTGTGCTTGTCTTCTGTTCAAAGAAACTGGTAACCCCCCCCCATCTGTAAGCACTGTCTTATCCCCAAAATGTTTGATGATCTCCTACTCACTGTAGCTATGTGGGATGAGAGATACTGTTGGTTAACAGTATTCTTCACATTTCACGGATGAAGACAGGAAAGGGGAAAAGCCAGGATTTGAACCCAGGTCTTCTGTTTATATCCAGATCTCTTTCCACTACACACAGCTACATACAGAATCTTGGAGAGGTCACAGCTCCTTTCTGGGCCTCAGTTTCCTCATCTGTAAAATGAGGGCTCTGAACTAGATGACCTCTAAGGTCCTTTACAGCCCTGCAGCTTCTGCTTTATATTTTCTTCCATAAAATACACAAGCATACCAAATTTCTATCTTGCCTTTACTTCATCAGCAAAGGAATCAGAAGACCTCAATTTGTAAATATTCTTGGGGGATCTGAATGGCAGTTTAGTCCATTACAAATTTACTTCACCATGTATTCAGATGTATCATAGGCCAGATGGGTCCAATTATGTAAGAAATAAGTGTTGGCATATTGGCCAAGTTCAGGGATCACAATAATCCTCTGAATGGATGCTGCACATCTTTGGGGAGGGGGATGCCTCTTGAACACTAGACCACACTGGGGGAGAAGACTGCCTGTCCTCTCAGCCCAAGGCCAGTCCAGTAGAATGGCAATGGCCTCAGAGCCAGTGGGTCTCTCCCTTTGCTGTTGGCCCTCTCACTCATGGTCTTTCTGCCCACTCTTGCCCAACTCTTACCCTTACTCACCTTTCCCAAAGCCATTGGAAAAAGTTTCCCTTTTTCCTGCACTTCCCATCTACTGCTGTGAATAAATTGGAGAATCCCCAAGTGGAAAGGAGCCTGAGACACCATCAAGCTCTCTCAGTGCTGGTCCAGTGTCACTTCCCAACATCACTCTTGCTTATGCCTCTGGGACCAAGCAGAACAAGGTTGATCTCTTTCTCCTTGACAACCCATCAGATCACTTGGAGATAGTGATCATGGCATCCTTGCCTGTTTTCTGGGTCAAACATTCCCAGTTCTATGACTTCATCCAGGGGTGTCATAGCCTCTAACTTCTTCACTTTGCTGGCCACCCTTCTTTGAATTTGGGGAGTCTTTCTTCATGTGATGCTTCCAGAACTGAACTTGGCATTCTATCAGTGATCTAAGTAGGGTTGTGATACAGGCAAACACCACCTCCTCCTTTCTGGACCCTGTCACTTTTGGTACAGGCTAAGATCCTGTAAGTTTTTTGGCCATCCAGTGCACTATTGATCTTGCATTGCATTAACCCTCCCCCAACCCTCCACCCAGAACTATTTTAGAGGGGCTGTTATCTACCCACAGCATCCTCATAACTTGATTACAAAGTTGACTTTTCTAACCCAAGTGTCAGACATTTCATTTATCCCTATTAAATTCCATTGTATAAGATTTCATCCTTCCTTTTAGCCTGTGGAGATCTGTGAAATCTCTCTGTTATCCAATATGACAGCAGAGACTGTGTTTATCTTTGGATCTTTGTGTCAGATTTCTGCCCTACTTAGATTTCAACTTTGGTAAGCACTGACCAGAACTCTTCAAAGATCTCCCCTTTAGAGGATTACTTCTCATATCAGAACGCCCCCGGGGAATTTTAATGACTCTGCTCCAGCCCATTGGCAAAGGGTCCCTTTTGAACCAGGCAACCCTTTCTTGGGATATAAGTGGCTCCGAACTCAGCCATCTTTAGACAATTCCAAGATGGTGTCTGTTGGGGAAGTGAAACAACTTGATATTACCTTGAATTAATGTGATATTTCTCAATGTCATTGAATGCTCCCAGTCCTTTAGTCTGAGGTCATTTGTGATGTTAGCCAAAAGTTTCATTTCTCCTTTGATTTCCTGATTCAATGGATCTGCTGCTCTTTCAAGGTCATGATTTCTGCTGACACATTGTATACATGCTCCTCCAGCCTCTCAGTCTCCTGGAAAGTATCACAGAGGGTCAGCAAAATTATTTCATCAGATGAAGAAATGAACATGTTGTTTATGGGGGATTTTTTCTTTAAATACTATACCATGTATAGATAGATATCTTTATATAGCTTAGACTTTCTCTTGTCATTCTGTAGTCTACCAGTCAGTCAGTTAGTTAGTCAGTATTTGTTAAGTACCTACTATGTGCTGGTACTCTAGTAAGTGCTGGTTACAGCACTTTCTTTACACATACAAAGAATAGTTATTAAAATATGATTTTCAAAGGAAATGATAGGAGAGATGATTAAAGATTAAAACATTAGTGTGTGCAAAGTACATTTCTGTATATATGACCTCATTTGATCCTTACAATATGCCTGGGAGGTAGGTGCTTTATTATGCCCATTTTGCATATAAGGAAACTGAGGCTGGAGGTATAAAGCAATCATAAAGCTAGTAAGTGTTTGAGGTTGCATTTGAAAACAGGGCTTCCTGAGAAGGCCAGCACTCTATTTACTGCCCTCTCCCTGTCGCCATATTGGTCTTGACTTGCAATGGAAACTTCTTATTTTTATCACCTCCCCCATTATAATATCACCTCCCCAAGATCTATCTTACTTTCTTATTTGTCTCCATAATGCTTAGCACTTGTATACAGTTAGGACCTAATAATTTTTCTTCATTAATTCATTCATTTCCTACCGAGGAAAGAAAAGGAAAAGGAAAATGATGAGAGATGGTGGAAAACCTTACAAGATCATGTCCCTTTGACAAAAGAGATTCAAGGGGCAGCTAGGTGGTGCAGTGGATAGAACACCGGCCCAAAGTCAGGAGGACCTGAGTTCAAATCTGGCCTCAGACCAAACATTTGACACTTACTAGCTGTGTGACCCTGGGCAAGTCACTTAATCCCAATTGCCTAAAAAAAAAAAGAAAAAAAGAAAGAAAGAAAAGGAGATTCAAAATATGTTGAATCTTCTTCACATCAGTCCTCTGCCTTTTCTAGAAACTCTTTCAATGGATGGAGTTATTGTTAATAATGTCAGTGAAGGTGCTCTCTCTGCTGACAGAGAATCACAGGCCTTGAGAAAGATAGAATCTTGGGAGACCCCCTAGCAGAAGCCCTACCAGAACTGGGATTTCCTCAACAGCCCATTTTAGTCAGAGATTCTGCTTGGACACATCCAGTGAAGGGAAGCTCATCACCTCTTGTGGCAGCCCATTCTTTAATGAAACCATAACCAACAAAGAGTGCTTCCAGAGCTAGAGTGGGACAGAAAGGGGGACACAGCAAGGGCTAGAACTTCTGCTTGGCATGGATGAGCTAATGATAACCATCAACAACAAAGAGAAAGCAGGGCTTCTCCATTCTCCATTTGATTTCTGTTTTCACTACCGAAGATGATAATCCCTACATGGAAAATGTCAGAACAAAGATAACTAACTAGTAGTTGAGGCCACAGATAAGAAAAGAGGTATGATGAGAGCTCTTAGCTATCCTTCATGAATTCAAGTACCCTTGAACTACATCCTCAGATCCTAAAAGAATAGCAGCTGTGATTGCTAAGTGACTGTTAGTTCCTGTTGATGAATTTGAAAGATGGTGGAAAATGAGAAAGGAGTCACAAAATGCAAAATCCCATGTTCCACCAATTTTCCAAAAAAGAGAAGAGTGGCCAAAAACTATAGACCAGTGAGTCTTTCTTTGGACATTCTCATTTCATTTTCATTCTTTGGACAATTCTCAAGTAGTTCATTAAAGAGACAATTCATGAATATCTAGAAAGGGAAGGGGTCATTACAAAGTGCCAGCATGTTTTTCACAAGAACAGGACATTTCAGATTTACCTCTTTCCCCTTTTTTAGATTTCTTAATAACATAGACAATGAATGAGATGCTGTAGAATTAGTTTTTATTTTACTAAAGCATTTGATAAAAATGTCTCATAGTAATTAGACTATGAACTCCTTAAGGGAAGAGACTCAACTTTTTCTCTGTTTTGTATCCCCAGTGCCTAGAACAGTACCTGGCAAATAGTGGGCATTTAATAAATGCTTGCTAATGGACTGATTTAGGAATCAAGAGCAATGGGTAAGATTGGAAAGAGGCCAATTCATCCTTGAAATCAGGAAAAACTTCCTAATATGTAGACTTTTCCCAATATGCAATGCACTGCTTCAAGAGGTGGTGGCAGAAGCTGGATGGCCACTTGTCAACTACATTTTGTCCTGGTTCGAGGGTAGAGAGAAGCACTAGTGCTTGTGGCTACAGGAAAGACCAGAGTGAAGACTAAGATCACATCTCTTCTTGGATCACACCACCTTGGAAACACCAAAAACTCACAGGTCCCTAGAACTAGCTCTGAAAATAGTAGTCGGAAAACGCCTGAAGCTTGGAATAGTGCCTCCTCACCTTCACATGATCATAGCCCAACTTTGACATAAAGTTCAAAGTTAAGGTGGAAAAGCTGGGAAAAATGAATAAATAATAAAAAACCTGAAGATAAAAATCTATATGGTGATCAAGACACAAAACAAGAAGACAACAATGTAAAAACAGTTACAAGCAAAGCCTTAAAAATGCAAATTGGACAGAAGCCCAACAAGAATTCCTGGAAGTGCTAAAGAAAGCTATAAGAATGATAGAGGAAAGATTGGGGAAAGGAATGAGAATGATGTGAGAAAATTATGAAACAAAAATCAACAGCTTGACAAAATAGGCACAAAATATTACTGAAGAAAATAACACATTAAAAAACAAAAATGGTCAAATAGTGAAAGAGGCACAAGTATTCACTGAAGAAAAGAACTCCTTAAAAAGCAGAGCTAGCCAATTGGAAAAAATAAATATAAAAGTTTAATAAATAATTCCTTAAAATTAAAACTGGGTGAGTGGAAGCTAATGATTCCACTAGACATCAAGAAACAGTAAAACAAAATCAAAAGAATGAAAAAAATAGAAGAAAATGTGAAATAGCTCATTGTAAAAACAACTGACATAGAAAATAGATTGAGAGATAATTTAAGAATTATTAGACTACCTTAAAGTCATGATCAAAAAAAGGACCTAGATATCGTATTTCAAGAATTGTAAAATAAAAATGCCCTGATATCTTAGAATCAGAGGATAAAATAGAAATTGAAAGAACCTACTGATCATCTCCCCAAAAATATCCCAAAATTAGAACTCCCAGGAATATTGTAGCCAAATTCCAAGGCTCCCAAGTCAAGTAGGAAATATCACAAGAAGACAGAAAGAAGCAATTCAGATATCGCGAAGCCACAGCCCATAGGACACCAGATTAAGTAGCTTTTGCTTTAAAATAGCAGAGGGCTTGGAACATGATATTCCAGAAGGAAAAGGCTGTAGGATTACAATCAAGAAAAACTTATTCAACAAAACTGAATATAATCCCTCAGGAGAAAAAGTGGATATTTAATGAAGTATATTTCAATGATGACAAAATGACTTTTAAGCATTCCTGATGAAAAGACCAGTGCTGAACAGAATGCTTGACTTTCAAAAACAAGACTCAAGAAAAGCATAAAAAGGTAAACGGGAAGGAGAAATCATAAAGGATTCAAAAAAATTGTACTGTTTACCTTCCTACATGAGAATATAATACTTGTAATTCCTAAGAACTTTACCATTAGTTAGAAGCACAGCTGTGAGTTGATTACATCAGGATGATCTCAAAAGAAAGTGAAGGGATGAGAAAGAAGGATACCCTGGGAGAAGGAGGGAAAGACAGATGAAAGGGGGAAATTATCTCACAAAAAGAGGGGGCAAGGATGAGCTTTTATAGTAGAGGGGGAAATGGGATCTTGGGCAATGCTTGAACGTCACTTATAGAAATTAGTTTAAAGAGAAAAAAATATACACACATACACACTTACACATACACATACACATACTGGGTATAGAAATCTAGGTTACCCTACTAGGAAGTAGGAAAGGAAGGAGTAAAAAGTGATAAAAGGTAGGGCAAATTAATGGAATCAGTGGTCAGAAGCAAAACAGACCTTAGAGGAGGGATAAGATAAAAAAAAGAGTGAAGGATAAACAGAAGAAAATAGGGTGGAGGGAAATACACAGTTCATAATCAAAACTTTGAATGTGAATGGGATGAACTTATACATAAAACAGAAGTGGATAGCAGAATGAATCAAAAACCAGAATCCAACAATATGTTGTTTACAAGAAACATACTTGAAACAGAAAGACATGTACACAGAGTTATAACAAGGAGACGTAGCAGAATTTATTATGCTTCAACTGCACTAAACAAGGCAGAGATAGCGATCGTGATCCCAGACAAAGCAAAAGCAAAAATAGACCTAATTAAAAGAAATAATTAGGGCAGCTAAATTTTGCTGAAAGGTACCATGGAAAGTGAAATAACATCAATCCTAAATATATCTGCACCAAATGACAGAGTACCCAATTTCTTAAAGTGAAAGCTAAATGAGTTAAATGATGAAATAGTAAACTATATCAGTTGGAGACCTCAATTTCCTCCCCCCCAGAACTACATAAATCTAACCATAAAACAAGAAAGAAGTTAAGGAGATTGACAGAATTTTAGAAAAGTTAAACATCGTAGACCTTCTGGAGAAAACTGAATGGGAACAGAAAATAGTACTGTAAACCCTTTGCTCAGCTGTACATGGCACCTTCACAAAAATTGACCACATATCAAGGCATAAAAACTTCACAAACAAATGCAAAGAATCAGAAATATTAAATGCATCCTTTCAGACCATAATACAGTAAAAATTACATTCAATAAAGAACAGTGGACACACAGATTAAAAATTAACCAGAAATTAATCTAATCCTACAGAATGAGTGAGTCAAAGAATAAATTATAGAAGCAATAATTTCATTGAAGAAAATGACAACAATGAGCCATCATACTGATGTAGTGCTTGGGTCTTGTACTCAGACCCAACTTCCAAGACCATATTTCTCCCTAGCCTCAAGACACTATCCCTGACAGTTTCTCTCCAGCCCAAGGACCCCATCTATGGCAATGACTCATGAGTGGGCCCAGTGAGGCAAATTATCTCCTCCTGTTACAAGAACAAGCTGACCTCTGTAGGATTTCCCTTGTATGAACAGGACTATCTTGTACCAGCAGAACTACCAAGTACTGATGCCCACAGTTACCATATACAAGTCAGAGGTCAAGCTATAGACGTCAACTCCTGAAACTATCTTGTTATAGACATAACATACCAAAAATATGCCCTTTAGGAGCCCCCTCTTCCCGCCCTACCCCCATTTCCAATACAGAATGACACCTGTGACCAAGGTTGTAAGTTATCACCTAATTAGCATACTTGGCACATAATTCATTATTTTTCCTCTATAAGCTTTAGCATCATTCTTGTTAGGTTGCAAGTTCTCTAAGGAGTTCTGCCCACTGTGGTAGGTTCCTTCAGAATCCTTGTCCACTGTATAGCATAACAAAAAATCTTTTCCACCTTGACTTAAAGAATGCTTCAGTCTGTGAAGTCATCCCAGACAACCTGGTTCTATATTCAGGTCCTTGAGGAATCTCTCAACCTCTCAGATGACAACAATACCAAAATTTGTAGTATGCAGCCAAAGCAGTAGTTAAAGGAAAATTTATACCTCTAAAGGCTTACATCAATAAAAAAGAGAAAGAGCAGATTAATTAATTGGGCATACAATTTGTAAAAAAAAAAAACTAGAAAAAGAACAAATTTAATATTCTCAATTAAACACCAAAATTGAAATCCTGAAAATCAAAGGAAAGATCAATAAAATCTAAAGTAAAAAACAAACAAACAAACCCCAAAACACTGAACTAATAATTAAAACTAGGAACTGGTTTTATGAAAAAATAAAATAAAGTAGATAAACCATTGGTTAATTTGATATTAAAAAGAAAGAAAGAAGGAAACCAAATTACCAGTATCAAAAATGAAAAGTGTGAATGTACCACCAAGGATAATGAAATCAAAACATTATTAGGAGTTATTTTGCCCGATTATATGCCAATAAAACTGATGATCTCAATGAAATGGATAAATATTTATAAAAATATAGATTACTTAGATTACCAGAAGAGGAAATAGAATATTTAAGTAACCCTGAATACTTAAGTGATGACTGAAAACCAACAAAAGACAACAGTATATTTGTTGTTGTTTACTCATCTTCCCGTTATGTCTGACTCTTCATGAACCCCTTTAGGGTTTCTGTGACAAAGATACTAGAGTGGCTTGCCATCCCTTTTTCCAGGTCATTTTACAGATGAGGAAACTGAGGCAAACAGGCTAAGTGACTTGCCCAGGGTCACACAGCTAGTAAGTGTCTGAAGTCAGATTTGAACTCAAGAAGATGAGTCTTTCTAATTCCAGGCCTGGCCCTCCATCCACTGCACCACTTAACTGCCCCTAGTATAACATAACATGCATCTAACACAACATGTCTATTCAGCAAAGTGTTATCCATATGTGTATTTTCTTGTCTTTTAACATGTGATTTCTCAATATTGGGCACTCCTTCCACTGCTGAATCAGACCATAATTCCTCTAACTTAGCTGATGGTTGTAGATCATAATTGAAATTGAAAACATCCATTCCCCCTCCTGTGACCAATTTGGGGATGAGCACCTTACTCTGAGCTCCCCAAGCCAGATATATCTGATCCATTACCAGGCATGGACCCAAAGCATTTCCAGTTTGGCAGGATATCATAGAACTTCCAAACTGTCAGCACATTATTGAAGAATCCAGGGTCACTTCTAAGTCTTGAGGAGACATTATTTGTGGGACTCCAGTGAAGGAATCACTAGCAATATTATTCCTTAAAGATGCAGCCAGAGACTGACGTAGATAGTCCACCTCTGCAATGCTATGAGGTTCTAGTCACTCTGGTAGTGTTTATATTATCATTGTTTCCTTCTTGTCTTATTTGGGCAGTGTGAGCAAGTTGTCTGAGCATCAAAGTACCTGGCTGAGTGAGCAGACCTGACACGGAGGAAAGCAGCTTTTGAGCCACTGATTTGCAGGGATTTTTGGAGCTAACCTGGCCTGATTCTAGACACTCAGTCCCCTTCTGAAGCAGGCTATCCTTCTTCAATATGACCTTTAATGTACAAACACTTACCTCTCGCTGTTTGTGCATGTTCCCTCGATAGCTGCCTTTCCAGCTCTCTATATCAAGCTGAATTTCAAGTAACGTGGAGTTCAGCTTTGCCACGGAGTTGGTGACAGCATCTAGCACTCCTCTCTGAGTGTGGACAGCAGAGATGATGGAGCTGACCTGAAGGAGGAGGTCCTCAAATTTCTGCTCAGTCTTCATGCTGATGTTATGGAAAAGTTGGGAGGGCAGATTTGCTTCTGAATCAAAGATCTGTTGAATCTCCATGTTCAAAGTATCATTGTAATCTGATATCATTTTCCTCAATCTCACTTCTTCCTTTGGATTCTGCGCTCCGTATCTCAGGGTCTGAACTGTGGAGTCAAGGAAAATGACAATGATCACTGCTCCTATCACTAAGTACGTAGGTAGAAGAAGTCAATTACAGTCACTGAATTGCAGATGCTTGGAATCAGTCAATCAACAGCATTTCTTTTAGCACTCACGATGTGCCAGGATTTGGGTTCAATATTCAAGACACAAACACAAAAACAGAACAGTGCTTGACCTGAAGGAGCTCAAATGCTAAAATGGAGGGTGTAGTATGTTCATGGATAAGTATGGAACCTGCATTTGGCCACCCCTGAAGAGGGCAGGGAGACCAACCAACTGGATGAACAGCCCCCAGGCTCCCCATGCCTGGCTCCCTCCTCAACTTTTGGTTAAATGTTTATGGGTAGCAGACCAGGGAACCAGCCATGTAGACAGAAGGAAGAAGCCATTGTGCCCAGGAAGAATGAGTTCAGATTTGCCATGGATTCCTACACACACACACACCTCTTTATCTCCCTCTGTCTCTCCCTCCCTTCCTCTCTGTCCCTGTCTCTCCCTTCATCCCTCTCATCTATTCTGTCTCTCTTTGTCTCTATCCTTCTCCATGTTTTCCTTCTTCTCTGTCTCATGTTGTTTCTATCTCTCCCTCCCTCACATCTTTTCTCTGTCTCTCCACCTCTTCCTCCCTGTTTGTCTTTGTCTTTCTCTTAGTCTGTGTGTGTGAGTGTTTGTGTGTGTCTCTGTCTGTCTGGCTGTCTGTCTGTCTGTCTCTGGCTGTCTCTCTCTTTGTCTCTGTCTATGTGTTTATGTGTCTCTATGTCTGTGTCTCTCTCCTCTTCTCTCTCTCTCTCTGTCTCCCCCTTCTGTTATTCATCTTCCCTCCTCTCTTTCCTCATTCTTTCTTTGTCTCTCTCTCTCCTTGTGTCTCTGTCTCTCTCCTCTTGTCTTCTGCTTCTTTCTCTCTCTCCCCAATCTCTTCCTCCTTAGTGCCTCCTCTCTCTCCCTCCCTCTACACCCTTTCTGTTTGTATAACTGTCTCTCACTCTGTTTTTATCTGTTTTTCCTTTCTTCTCTGCCTTTCTCTGTCTTTCTCTCTGTATGTCTCTTTCCATCTCTTTCTCTCTCCCTCTCTGTCTTTCTGTCTCTGTCTCTTCATCCCCTTTCTATATCTCTCTGTGTCTCTCTCTTTGTCTTTCTTTCACTGGGTATCCTCTCTGTCTCTGTCTGTCTCTGTCTCTTTTCCTGTCTCTCTGTCTCTCTTTCTCCCTCCCCCTATCCCTTGCTGTCTGTCTGTGTCTCTTCTCTCTCTCCTCTTTCTATCTCTGTCTTTCCTCCCCTACTCCATGTGTGTATATATGTTTGTCTCTCTCTCCTCTTGTCTGCCACCTCTCTCTCTCTCTCTCTCTCTCTCTCCTTCTCTCTCTCTCTCTCTCTCTCTCCCTCTCTCTCTCTCTCTCTCTCTCTCTCTCTCTCTCTCTCTCTCTCTCTCTCTCTCTCCCTCTCTCTCTCTCTCTCTCTCTCTCTCTCTCTCTCTCTCTCTCTCTCTCTCTCTCTCTCTCCCTCTCTCTCTCTCTCTCCTCCCTTCCTTGGTGCCTACTCTCCCCCTCTCTCTCCCTCCCTTCTTTCCTCTCTTCTGTCTCTCCTTCTCTTTCTCTCTCCTTCCTCTCCCTCCCCTTATTTTTCCCTTTCCCTCCTCTTCTGGTATTTCCCTCCCTCTCCCTCTCCTCCTACCTCTCTAGGGAAGAAATTGAATGTCACCACTTATTACACACTTTATACTCACTGCTCCCCCTGGCTCAGGTGATGTCAGCCTTTGTTCTAAATGCAGATTTTTGTTTTGAAGGTTTTAACAAATGACACAAATGTTGGCCAGCAAAAACTCAATCCGTTTGTCATATTTGATGCATGGCTCATGAAAGGGAGAAAAAGCATTCTATATTTGTAAAATGAAATATTTGGCTCCGAGGAAAAGATCTGAACCTAAGGTCTGGAGCCATTAGGGAAATGTAGGGTTACTAATATTGGACTTTTGCAAACTGGATAAAATAATCTGAGACTCAGATGTTCATAATACAAAAAATCCCAAACCAAAATAACATCAGCAGCAAAAGCACAAGTCTGACAAAAGGTTCAGGAAGATTGAGGAGGAGTCATTTGTAGGGGGAAGGCAAATAGAGTTTGAAAAGGAAGCCAGACATCTGGGAAGGGAAGGGCACTAAGTTACCAGTTAGGCTCCACCCACATAAAATCTGGATCGTGATAAGCACTTGTAAAATGTTTGTGGATGGATGGATGGGTAGGTGGGTAGATGGCTGGCTGGCTGGATGGCTGGGTGGGTGGAAGATCCAGTTCCCTGGGCATATTCAGGCTAGTCCTTTGACTTGTGGAGGATTGACCCTACCCCATCATACCTTGCTTGCCATCACCATCAGCTAGTTTTAAGTACATATGGTATATATACAAAATAAATGCACAGTGATTAATGCCCAGCCCCAGTGATTTTCAGACAAATTCCTATCTCCCCAGGCCTCCTCCCTACTGGATTTGCAAAGGTGATAAAAATCCAAAGAAACAAACCTTAAAATTTAGTCTTTGCATTCATCATGACTGAATTCCACCTCACTTAATCTCAGCCAAGGTTCTAGGCTATGGAAGCCTTTAGGGCCCATGGTTCTCATGGTTATTCAGGTTTGCCCTGTTGAGGTAATTCTGGACTCTTCACTTATACCTCACATTCAAAACCTTGACAGATCTTGCTGATTTGAGCTCCACAAAGTCTCTTTGCTCCCTCCTGTCCTCTCCGCTCTAGCGGCCCCCACTCTAGGTCTAGCTCTCATCAGCTCTCACCCAGACTCTCCTTACGATAACTTCCTGAATTGTTTTCCTAGCTCAGGTTTCTTTTCTTACCAATAGAAGGGCAACAACGACCTGGATAAGTGGATGGGAGCTAGAGTAGGAAGAGCATGAGATGCCAAACAGAGGAGCTGGGATTGGATTTCCTATAACAACAGGGGGCCACTTGTTTGCTTTGCTTTGCTCTTAGCTGCCACTTGGCAGCTATTTGTTTGCTTTGCTTTGCTCTTAGCAGGTAGTGACATGGTCAGCTCTGTAAGACTCAGATGCCAAAGTGACATTCTGAGAGAGGAAAGGGGAGAGAGGCAGAGAATGAGAGAGAGACAAAGACAGAGAGACAGAGATAGCTAGAGAAGAGAGACAGAGGCAGGACAGAGAAACAGAGACAGAAATGGGGGGGAGATGGAGACAGACAGACAGACACAGAGACAGAAAGAGAGACAAAGATAGAGAAGTAATCAGACTGAGACACAGAGAGACAGATTGAGTAGAGAGAGTGGAAGAGACAAAGGCATAGAGGGAGACAGACAGACAGACAGACAGAGACAGAGACAGAGAGAAAAGCTGGCTGGCTTGTTCCCTTCACCACGGATCAAGTGGAGTCTGCTTTTAGTTTTTGTTTTTGTTTTTGTTTTTTTCCACCAATGAGGCAGAAGTCACATGTGAAGATAGAGGGCCGCTCTCTATACTCCTCTTCCTTCCTCTGGCCTTCCCATTTGTACTTCTTTGAGAGGGGAAGAGCATGCAACCAGACACTGAAGACATCTTGGCTAGATGTGGCCAGAAGCAACTGAAGTGGCGCAGCTACCATGACTCCCATGGACTGAGGGCTTCACATAAACACATACACATGCATAAAATATATATACACACACATATGAAATACACTTATGCTGACACATGGGACCTGCCTAAGTCCAGAGAGACAGCGGCAGGAAAACTGAAGAAGCTGATGTGGCGCTGTTTCCTGGAGTACATGTTGCTAAATCATTGCTCTCATGAATACTTTACCTGTAACAAATCCAGTGATTGGGATCAGAACCCCAAACACAAAGAGACAAAGCCCGACCAGTGCAATTTTGTGCCACTTCAGCTTTTCTTGCAATCCAGAGACAGTGCAAAAATCTATTTAAAAAGATGTACAATACAGAAAACTGGTTATGTGGCCCAGACAGATCACACTTAACTCTTACTGAATATTAAATATGGAAAACAATTTCATGTTATCATTCTCTCCAAATATATTCCTTAAGTCAAAGGTAAATCTAGAATCAAAGAAAGTGAGCAGGTGGAAGTGAGTTCAGACATCATTCACACAGGGCTAAAGGTGTCAGCCATTCTAAGCTATGCAGGTCTCAGAGAAATCAGTGGTCATGAGCTTCTTGTGGAAAGGGCAGGGATGATGGGGTTGAGGCTCAGGCCACAGAAATCCCAGAAGCTGGATATACTCAAGGCTTCCATTTCATGAAATGTGACTCACTTTCTGGAAGCTTTGCCATCATGGTCTTAGCATCAAATCGCACTGAATCTGAGCAATTGTCTGAAGGACAGTTTTCTTCCTGTTCATTGAGAAGTCTATTCCAATTTTCCATGACTGCCAAAAAAAAAAATAGATGAAAAGTGGATTTCCATATGCAACACGAGCGAAATGTTTACAGAGCAAGCCACCTTGGAGTTATTTTGGCATAAAATGCTAAATTATGATTTATTATTATGATTCAGTTTTCACGGCTTGTAAAATGTAAAAATTAATGTACCAGAATTAAGCATATTCATTCTCCTAGCCAACTGTTATATTTATGGTAAAAGGCAGTATTATTTTCTTCATTAAAGAAAATATTAAAAAAAATTATGTCCTTATGGGCTCATAATCCCCTTAGTGGGGTTGAGGGAAGTATAATTGTCCCATAAGTGTAAGAAGACAGAATATTCACCCATTTCTTGAGGGATGGGCAGATAGGCACCCTTAGGTTTTCAGACACATTGGTGTCTCCATTTGTTGCTTGACTGTATTTATTTGCTACAAGGAAGGGATTTTGATAATCATTAACATTAATAACAAAAATAAAATAATAAGACAAATGTGTATCCCAGACAGAATATGGCTAATAACACTGCCCAATATGACCTGAACCAGATGAATATGTGATTGGGAAATACTTAACAAAAAAATAAAATAAAACATAGATAATGTTAATTTATGGCTTTCTAAATCAATCTGTATAACCTCCTTATGTATGGCTTAGTGACCTCAGTTTCTATTTCTATTTAAATCATTGATTTAAACCAACAATGGAATGGAAAATAACCCTTTGGATTAAAAACAAAACACATTCATTCATTCATTCATTCATTTCATTCATTCATTTATTCAACAAGCATTCATTAGGCTGGGTTAGGAAGGAAGGAAGAACAATGATGTTCTTGTGACATTTGCAATTGATTGGCACGGAGTAAGAAGGGCAAAAATGAATGCTAGATGCAAGCCTGTCCTGAAGACAAAGGAGAAGTCCAAAGAAAAGATATTTGAAGGAGAGAACCTTCACCTATGGGGTCCAGTGGTGTGTGGATGGTGCTTCTTTCAGGTAGGAGGGACAGTGTGTTCAAAGGCATCCTCACTCTCACTCTCCCCTCCTTTCCCAGCTATCCCTTGCCCTCATGCTGCCCTTCTCACCCCCAAGATATTGCAGGGAATATGTTCTAACTTTTTCTTAGCACATCACATATCCATTGCCCTTGAAGTAACCAAATAACATTTTTTTTTATTCCAAATCCTCAAATGTTAGGACTAAACAGAAACCTTGGGATCATTGTGTTTGGCTTTCTCTCTCTTTTTTTAACAAATGACAAAACTAGGCCCTTAGAGGTTCAGTACCAACAAAGCTTGTAAGTGGCAGTGGCAGAATTCCAGCCCAGATGTTCTGACTCCAAGCCAAATGAGCCTTCCAGTGGACCACACTTGCCATGGAAAATGGTTAAAACCTTGTGATGTCTAAATTTGTAGTAACCCTGGGATCTTCTGACCATTTCTCATGTCCTTTCACTGAAATAAGGAAATGAGCACTTTTGAAAGATTTGACAGCGTGGACAGTCAGCTCTGGGAACTCAGCTCAGTCCTTCTTCTGCCACATCCAGCCCCTTCAACTTTGATTTGGCTGAAAAACAGTCAGCTTGACTTTGCCAATTTCCTGTCATTCCTTATTTTCATAAGTGGTTATGAAGTTCCCACTTGTTCAATTTTTGTGAATTACTTTCACTTCCTATAATCATTTGTTGATGACTTTAAAATCAGCCTTGTTATTTCTCATAGAAATATTGCTTTCAGATCCCTTTTCTGGCAAAGAGAAACAGGGGTTTCACCAGATCTTTGGTGAGATTGAGGAGCAGAAATAGCCAATATAAATCTTCTGGCCAGTTTTCTCCACTTCCTAAAGCATCCCTCATTCACCAGTTTTTAAAGCTAAAAAATTTCATCTGAAAGGGAGACAATCCCAATGACTGTTTTCAGAGATGACAGGTCTGGGATCATAGGACTGAGAACCTGAAATGATAACACCCATGTTTTCAAAGCTTCAAATCCAGAGACCTTTCCTTGCCCCCGGCTACTGGCTCAGACAAAACAGAAACCCTACTTTCTCTGGCTTCCCCTCCTTTCCTCCTTCATGACCAAACATCAAGGCACCCCATGAGCAGTGTGTAGATATCCAAGGTTTCTCAGAGTGACAGATACATTTCCTTTCCTCTCCGCTTCCTCTCAGATCTTTACTAATCTGTAAACAAACTTGGATGTGCCTGGGGAGGTAGAAATTTATTTGAGGCCAGGTCTGACTCAGGCCAGTCTGCTGGCTGAGGTTTGGGATTGAAATGAAACATGACACTCATAGACCATCCAGAGTTAACAAAAGAAGGTTTCCTTTACTTTAGTGTGGAAAGGATACTCAGCAAGGATACAGCATTGGCTCACAGTTTCTTTGCCATGGCAGTGTGCTGGTCAGAAGCATGTGCCAAGCTTAAGGAGCTAATGACTCCTCATGTGCTAGCTTTTGTACTTAGAGTGTCAGGTAGCTCCAACTCCTGGACCACTTCATGGTGGAGAAAGGTAATTTGGGGATCATTTAAGAAAAAACCCCTAGCTTCTTCTTTGGGGAATAGATGCTGTTCCTTTACCAACATGGAGACTGGAATGGGGAGTCACATTGTAAAGACAGTAACCTTTTGCTGTGCATCTAATCACACTGGGCTTGCACTTAGTTAATGTGGCTTAATGTTAAAACAGTAGGTATTCCTACAGCTAAAGCTGAGGGGAGCAGGATGCAAAGCAAGGTTATGTCTCCAGAAAGGTTCCCATATGGCTCATTACTTCCATTCCAACCCTTCCTTTTCCATCAGTCCTGGGGACTTCACTATCAGTGTTGCTGACTAATCTAAGCCAGAAGCACACAATTCCTAAATGCCGATAATCTCACTATTCACCTCACTTGGACCACCTACCTGCGTGGTTTCCTAAGAGCTCACCAGCTTTCCTAATGGTCTCATCCCCAGCAGCCTGAACTTTGCTGTTGGTAAAACTCAAAGACATCAAGTTCAATGCTTTCATTTCATGGAATAAGACAGAAAGGTGGAGTCCCACAGCTAGTAAGTGTCTCAGGCAACATTCAACTCCAGCACTTCCTGCCTCCTAGTTCAGCACCACCCACTATGCCATACCATCTCTCTTAGTTCCTTTCCTAAGCCACAACCTTTTGTCCTTCCAGCTCCCTTTCTGTCCTACACCTACCAAACTTTCCACAGACTGTCCCAAGCTGTCGAAGCTTAGAACTGTTCTAAGACTTTTGAAGCACTCTGTATTGGTGTTTATGTTGACCACTGACCTTTTAACCAATCCATATTTTTCCAGTCCATCTCTCCAACTTTGATTTCCTGTGCCTCCACACCCACCCATATCTAACTCTTTAGGATTTCATTTTCCATCTTTCTACAATCCCTAGACCTTCATGTCAGTAAGTCAACAAGCATTTGTTAAGCACCTACAGTGTGCCAAGCACTGTGCTAAGTACTGAGGATGCAAAGAAAAGAAAAATTAGTCCCCAGCCTCAAGAAGCTCTCAAAGGGACCTTCCACCATTCCTGATTAGTCAATAGCAACCCCTTGAAAGGAGAAATGATACAAAGGATGCCCTCAGAGAAATACATACAGAGAAAAAGATGGCCCAATCACACGTGAGTGAATGAATGAAAAAAACATTCATTATTACACACTCACCACATGCCAGGCACTATACTACATGCTGGTATGTGTGTAGGTGCTTGACAAATATTTGCTGACTATTGAACTAGCTAGCCCCTGAGGTCCCTTCAAGCCCTGAGTCTGTGTTGCTATCAGTTGGGCTGATTGTTCCTTGTTAGGGCTGGCTAATGTCCTGCACCTCAGACACCTGCCCTGTCCTCTACAAACAGCACTCAAGGTCAAGGAATCTCCCTACATGCCACATTGCAAATACATTTCTAGATGACTGGAGAGTGTCTGGGGAACTGGCTGGTCAAAGCAACTTACAAATATAAGCAAGCAAAACAGTCCTTGACCTTGAGGAGCTTATATTCTAATAAAGGACATTGTCTAAAAAGCAAGGGACAACCAGTGGACAGCCCCTATGCTCTGTTGGTATCTGTGCAATGTTGATAGACTGCGAAGGAAGCACTCAACATGTGGGGTGGAGTTGTGGGAGAACCTGGGAAAGAGTCTCACAAGATGAGCAGACATTGATGGCTTGTCATCTCCCCTCCTGGAGGGAAAACCCACCTTAACGAGATCACAGGTCCATTAGAGCACTGGCGTACCCCCAGGTCATCCTCACAATCTCTTCCTACTCCTTAACTGCTGAGGGTCCTTGGAAAAAATATGAAAATCGTATTGGTTCTAGCTACTACCAGCTTGTGGCATGGCACCTCAACTTAGCCTTGGCTCCTTGAATATTTAAGTAAATCTGTTATCTCCTCAAATGGAAACTCTTTCCTTTGGTGCAGATTGTAGCCCATGCAGATGCATATATCATCCCGTGTAATTCTTGCCTATGTCTTTTTTGTTTCAGCCAAACTGGGCTGTGGCATCACTGAACTAGTCAGTCAGTCAATGTTCTTGTTTGTCCTTTGTTCTCAAAGAGGACCATGGCATCAGGAAAATGACTAGCAAATGAATTGCCATGACTTAAAAGTGAATTGAATTTAAGTGAGGGAGGGCTGTGCAAAGTCACCAGGTTCATTTTCTCCTCCAGAGCCATCTGAGTCCAGTGGCAAGATATAAATCAGGATGACTAGAGATGGCCCCTGATGCAGTGGGAGACCTTTCTAAGTTAAGATCTTTCCCAGGTCTCAGTTTGACTGAGGGCTGGGACCTATTGTTGACCAATCAATAAGAGCCAGAGTGAGTTGGGTTTAAGTCATGGACCTTAAGAAAGAAATCTAGCCTGTAAGCCACAAGCTATCTTTCAAGGTTTCAGGGATCAAAATTTACATTCCTTTAGGCAGAGCACTGGCCTATGTAGACAGAGGGAGAGGATGGGGAGGGGAGGGGAGGAGAGGAGCTGCATTGCCCAAC